GTCACCTCTTGCGAGAATTTCGGCCTCATCAAATTTGAATGTGTGGCTGGGTTTTGTCGAATGAGCCGCTACTTGTGAACTGGCATCAGTTCGCCTCAATGATTTGTTCGCAATTGCACCAGATTCTATAGATGATACCAGGTGTTTCTAGCCGTGGCAGTGGGTCTTTTGGTTTCATTATATGACGCCTTATGGTTGCCTCCGGCCTGTGCGACTCCAAATCTAAGTGGTGCGAGAAGGCGGCCGACAGCCTCCGAGACGTTTTTGACGTACGGGATCGCTCGCCAAAATTTGGGGTCGCTGCGAATTTTTTCCCACTTCGTTTGCGCAAGCACCGGTGGACGAAGTTGGACGTGTAGCCATTTTCTTTAAACACCTGTCGAAGTTGTTGTATTTCGGCAACTTTCTCCTCTGGTTCACTGCAGTGCGTCGCAACACGCCGATAAAGCGTCCTCACGCAACTGCGTTTGTGGCTGATTGGGTGTTTGCTGTTGAAATTCAGTACTTGCATCGTGTTTATGGGTTTCCTGGGTACTGTGGTCTTTAGGTCACCACAATCTTTGCGACAGACGAAACGTCAGGAGAATAAAAGTGTTTTCCCAGCGATCGAATATTCTTCTCAATTATTTCCTGGGACTCGTACGTTCGCTTGACATAGGGAATCTACCACATGCTTTAAGCGTATGTCAGGGGATATGTTTGGGCTTACTAGAGTTAATTGGATGTATTATTGGTATGATAGGCTGGCTTCGGCTTCAAGCTTGTGCGTAACATATCCGTGAATTATCTTTATATTTGGAAGTAAAAAAAAGTAAGGAAGTAAAATACAAGCAGTTTACCCTTTACTGATGCATACAATTATTAACCTAGAAAGCTTCACTTACTGCCCTTCCTTGCATATCGTGGATGTACGCATAAGCAGTGTCGGCTTACCCGCTCGAAGTTATTCACTTTTAACACCTCTACAGTAACGCAGTATAACTTAATCTAATTACCTCGGTAGGATTCAAACCTGCCACAACAGAGGCAATGTTTGAGTACAGGCAACATGCTAACCACTTGAGCTAAGATACCACGACCGAAAGCCGTGAGTTTGATCACCTTTGGGTCAAATTTCCCATCCAGTCTACTGCAACGTATGGACTTCACCGCATCTGATACAGTTAGACCACGGCTCGAACAGGATTTCTCGAGCAATTAATTTAGAATCCACCAGTTAACTACCTGGTTTACTTAACTAATTGACGCTTTAAAAAATGCGAATTTATTCAGTACTGGCCTGTCTAAAAATGCCTACAGGTAACACAATTTGTTTAAATACCTTTCCGGTATTGAGGGCTGGACTTTATCTGAAACTCTTATTAGCCAGCTGCATAAGCCTCAATGAGCAGCACATTATGTCAATAGTACCAAACCTTAATATATTTTATTTAATTGTATAAAGATAACTGTGTCTCGCGCAAGTAATTCTCACACGTTTTATTGTTTAAAGTAGTACCGTAGACATTTTAAGCATTTTTTCTCTGGTGCAATTTCGGAGATTACGTAAACAGCAAAATTTATTGGATCTAGTAATTTCGAAAATTCTCATCAATTGCTTCCTCTCGTTGCGAGGAGAGGTTCCATATTTCCGTGTCGGATCACGACAGGGGCTGACGCACAAAGAAAGCTGGCCCCTTGTTACACGTGATTCTCTTTGCGACTAGGTTTTATGTCACCCAGGACTGCAGCCTCTTTCTTGAAGTCTTGTTTAGCGACGTCAGTCAGTGCCCCACGGCATTCGCTGTCAGCACAACAAACCTATGAATCGACGGAATGGTGGTTCCCGTTTGGTATAATATCCTGCACACCACTGATAGTGAATACGTGACATTAAAAGGGACGACTGCGGAATGCTAGCGAAAATTAGCATAAAACCGAGTTGCTTCAATAATTTTTTAAAAATTTAAAGTAATCGGCACCACTGTCTATCAAACGTCCGGAGTAAAACCGTAATGCGATCATTTAAGTAGTCATTTAAAAAACTTCCATTCAGACCCCCTATTGCAACCTCTTAAAGTACGTAAATAATTTAGTTAGGCTCACGCCGATAAAGGCTCCGCTCCTCTTGTAAATGCTGCGTATTTCTCTTGCGTCAGTGACCACTAAGACAGGAAACAGGGAGTTCAGATTGTTTCGACATGCCATCGATTAATAAAATAAGCTTAGAACTCAGCTTTCCACTCTTTATCATCCCGTCGAATGATAGCTACGTGCCCCCCACTACTTATTGTGCCTGGTAGTCAGTTGGTGGATTACAGCCTGATTGGCCAGAAAAGCCTGCTTGAGCAGTCAGCTTTTGGTGGACAGCCAACAATGCTGCCCCCTCCCAATGCTAGCTGCGTCAACATTATGCCTCTTTGCAGGCGGTTGTTTCCCACTCGTTGACTTTAAGACTCTTGACCGACATCATCGCACGCATTCAGATGCGCACACAGGCGCGTGCACACTTGCGTGCAAACCAAGGACCGCTTGAACATGCCACCCCAGCCAAAGCATCAGGGACCTCTACGTGTGATCCCCTCGATTAATGCCATACACCAATAGCACACCACTTTAACTCGTTCCA